TAAATTTGTATAAAATTCAAACTATCTTTGAATTCTGTGATTGGATTTTAATGATTTTGGACTTGTTAGAATTCTCTCACTAAGATGAACATTTTGGTAGTTAAATCATCTAAAACAGACTAGTATATCAGAAGTTATTGGCCAATTCCAAAAATAAACTGATATGTTTACGTCATAGATATAAAAAATTGGATGAAAAGTCACACCAAGATCTATTTAATTTAAAAATTTTCAGATGTTACAAACGTCTTTGTACTTTTTCGCAATTAATATTCTAAAGAAAAACGCCATTCATGCAATGAACAGTAAAAAGTCATTCATGCAATGAGTGGTTTAAGAAGTCGTTGCGCAACAAACGTCTTAGCAATTAATTTAATTTAACTGTATATTTGTCCCGTAAACCGGATTTTTTTTTTTATTAAAATTTTCTATTTTAGAAATTATGACCCGTGAACCCGGAAATAAATATTTAATGTTAAACTAGAAATGGTTACACCTGATCATATCATGAACGTACGTACGTATGTACGTACTGTATGCGCATGAGATGATGTTACAATTAGCATTAGGTCGTATACACAGTGTACTGTAGAAGTGCAATTATTTCGCTTCTCTATTATTATTTTCACTAATAGTTGAAATTAATTCGCCTCTCTAATATTATTTCACCCAACATCTTTAATATTATATAGCAAGCATACTATATAAATTTGAAACGTACGTACGTACGTACGTACACACGTACACACCATACTGATTTTCTACCTGCTATTTTGAGTGTCGTAAAAGAAACAGGGAATTCTAAATATAGATTATTATATAGTATATATATATATATATATATATATATATATAATATAATATTAGAATTCCTGATCTTTATTTGTAACACTCGTGTTATAAATTAGCTGATAATTAGTACAAGCGGTCGGTGGCCTGACAATTTCTCCATCAAAATGTCATACCACAATCATACTATTACCATACAAGTGTTGCGAATAGTGATACGTAGTATAGTTCAGAAAGTTGCGTTTTGACTAAGATATACATACGTTTATAAAATGAATTACAGAATTAGTCATTTCGACTAAAATATAATAACAAATGATGCATTAGAAGTACGTAGCAAAAGACTTTAACAAACCAATTAGTAAATTCATTTAGCGTTACCCGCTCATTCGGTTAGTTAATTTCTCCTAAGTACTTATCAAGAAGTTCGTTATTACAGTTAATGAAAAAAGGAAAAAAAAATTTTTTTGAATATAAACTTAATTTCATTCTATTTCATTCTATTTCATTCTTTATGCTATCTTAATCTCCTAAATACGTATTAATGAAAAAAGGAAATTTTATTTTTTTCGAATATACGTACGTAGCTTAATTTTATTCTTCAAATGTTTAATAAATGCTGCACGACAGTTTAAGTTCCATAATTCGTTAAAATATAAGGATTTATAATTCATCACTTAAATGTCGCACGACTGCTTAAATTTCTCCTAATTCAACGACCAAATAATTACCAAAGTTACCAAAGGGATTTCCATTAATAATGATTACCCCTTTCAAAGATTTCTAAAAGTCAGAAAGAAGTAATTATTTTTTTATTTTTAATATATACAGTATATATATATATTTATATATAAATTAGATGCATCAAAAAAACTACTACTGTAGCATGCTTTGCCAAGTAATTAAAGATTATCTATAAATTTACTAAAAGAAGTTAATCAATATTTTAAAAAAAATTTTTTTAAGTATAAAATTTAAGTATAGTATCATACTTAATATACTTAATGTATAAACCATACATACTGTATGTACGATACTGTACATATGTAAGTTTTATATACCGGATATACGTTTTTTATATCAATTAATCAAGAGCCCAAGCTTGAAGAACTTTAAATGTCTCTCTCCAAGAGCAAATTCAATTAGTCCTATGGATGAACATTGGAAATTGACAGTAATTTTAAAAAAGGTAGAAAATTCAAAATTCAATATAAACAGGTTTTAACACCACAAAAATATATATGTCTGATAAGTAACCGTAATAATTCATAAACGAACAAAATATTGGTTAAGATCGACGACCCATACCTCAAACAAATACGAAAGGATTACGCCACAACAGCCAAAAAATCATCTACTACGTACGTACGTAAAATTTAGGGCGGCCTTTGTTTCTTTATAACGTATGCGGCAAACACCCGTAGGCACTTTTAGATATGCACGAGATAATCATGAATCATAATAAATTCACGACTTACCTTTGACGAACTACAATTTTAAGGTTGTACATCTAAAAAAATTTTTCTGAAAATATAATGCAGATGAATGAGCAATTGTGTTTTAATGCAAACTGTTATGCCATACATATCATTAGCTTATCGTGAAATTAGCCCTCGTTCGGTTTCCCCCACATAATGTGTTGTAAGTTACACAGAGCCAATTTTTTAAAATTTTGATAGCTTTGACAATTGACATGACTTAACAAGTTTGACAATTAGTACCATATGACCATTTTGTTTAGTTACTAAAAAAGACAATCCCTTTTGTACTTCCTATAATGTCCATCGAATTTACTTCAATTTGTGTCACGAGTCGAACTACAGCATTATGACGTTAACATACTTTTTACAAGTATTTGAATGAAATCACGTGGTACAACGAAGTTGCAGCAATGTATCATCTGATAAATATATTAAAAAATTATTAAAAAAAAATCGTATTGCAAAATTGAATAGCGATTCTAGTGATCTTCTGTTTGTTGCAAAAATGTGTACGATAGGCATAATTGTATTGATCTGCAAAATATTGAAAAATTTTTTTTCAAAATATCTATTTCTTATTGAATGTCTTTCAATATATAAATTATAATATTAATAATCATCTTAGATAAATAAGTATTGGTATGCACAGTACTTAACAATCATGGTTCTTTTCTGATCAGTAACTGGAGAAAGATAAGAAATGATAATTAGTTGGTACATACATTCTCGCTAGCTCGAATAAGTAGATTACCGGTTACATACCCGTATATGCTATTAGAAGATTTCAGCGTGACATCCGAAAAAAGGAAAATGATAAAAAAAAAAATTTACCTCCGCCCAAATTCAATGAACTACTTCATAAATACGCACATATAACATTATTATATACGCATTATATACGCATTATATACACATTATATACACATTATATACACATTATATTATCGTTATACACATTATCTGTTATACACATATCTATCCTACGTACGTACACACGCATCATTATTTTAATGTAAGAAAAAAAAAAAACTATATTCAATAGCATTTAATATGCAAACAAACAAAAAAAAACAAGAAAAAAAAAAAAAGAAAAAGAAAAAAAAAAGAGAGAAAAAAAGAGATGTGCAGTCTAATCGTCCATATCAATTATCAATTGTCTGTTGAATGTGAATGTGAATGTGAATAATGTGCCACGAGTTTCCCTCTGTCGTGTACTAACCAGTTCTTCGGTATCATAATGCTTGAGATTGTGCAAAAAAAAAAAAAATATAAATACGGGATAACAAATAGGCCATTCATTTAATTAAAAAAAAATTCATGTTTTGATTCGAATTATTTTTTTTTTTTATTAATCGTTCGGCCGTTTGAATTTGAATTTTTTTTTAACGCCCATTTATTACGCCATTTAAAAAATCTTGACGAACCCACTCTTATTCTTTCTCTTTCTAATGGAAAATCAATACGATGTATCTTCTGTTTACGCCATATTCCCCTCGAATACTTCCCCTATACAATCGATAACCAATTCCGATACGATAATATCAACGAATTCTTGTACAGGAAGTTATATGTTACCTAGCCCAAAATATGGTGTTAAACAACTTAATGCATATTTTCAGTTTCAAAACACTCAACCACCATTATTGATACAGCAACCGGACGTCGCCGCGTCTCTGTATTATCCTACACAGCTAGTTGCTTCAGCACAACCCGTACCTTCATCTGTAAATATCCCGAAACATCAACTTTCTTCGTCAATTTATCCAATAAACGGGTTCAAAATTGAGGTAACAATTCTATCTAATTATTCTTTTATTATTTATTTACTTATTCTTACCTCTTAAAATATCCCTATTAAACAATTTTAGTGTTCTGATAATCTTAATGATTCAATGGCTGTCACACAAGAAGGTATGTTTCCGGGAACGAGCAGAACCAGTTCTTAAAAAAAAATCTTTTTTTTATACTAATTTTTATAATACTCAATTTATTAAAAAGTGTAAATAATTTCTCTAATTCAATTGATCATCCAAAAGATGCTATCGATTCCAAACTTCATTTCGTATCAACTACAAATCCTTTTGATAGTGGCTATCCGCCGACGCCAACTACTCCTCGTAATGAAATTTTATTACCAATGACCCCTCCTCCAACTGAAATAAACCCTGCTGTTTATTATTATGATCAAGGACATCATTTCCTTCATATCGTAAAACCTCCTGATTATAATCAAGCATTTAGCCATTTTATGCTTGCTGTGAAATTTGGTTCATCACGTGCAAAACATCAAATTGCTTACTGCTTGCAACACGGTATTGGTACAACTAAGTATGTGCAAATTATTATTATTATTAAATTTTATAAATATTTATATTTTTATCTATAATATTGTATATTTACAATTCTCTTAGAGATGAAAAAAAGGCTGTTGAACTCTATTTGGAAAATGTCAATTTAAACCCTCCAAATGCTGCTAGTCTATGTCAATTAGGGATCTGTTATCAAATGGGCATTGGAGTTGAAAAAAACCCTTCTCTTGCTGTTAAATATTATCAGCACGCTGTCAATGAAGGGTATGTTTATTTTAAATATTTATATATATATATGTATATATGTATATGTATATGTATATGTATATGTATATTATATTATATATATTATATTATATTTATATTATATTATAATATTATATTATATTATATTATATTATATTATATATATATATATTTTTTTCACTTTTATTTTATTTAGGAATCTGGACGCAATGTTCAACCTTGCTTACTGTTTTCGACACGGTATTGGCACTCCTATAGATTATCAGTATGCTTATAATCTTTATCTACGTCTTGCAAAATCAGGTGATCCACAAGGTATGAAATTCGTCGGAAATTGCAATTTCGCCGGAATAGGTACTCCTAAAAACGACGATGAAGCTCTCAAATGGTTTCATCGATCAAGTGAATTTGATTGTTATTGGGGTGGTAAAATGGAATATGCATTATTACTTTTCGAAAAAGCTATGTCTGATATTGGACTTGGCTACACTTTCGACCCTTTCGCCCAGAACTTTGTTGAAGCTTTCCACTTGATACGCGAAGTATGCGATAATTTCCCCTCTTGTCCTGGTTTTAATAAATTAATGCTTGGTAAATTTTATCATATGGGCTTCGGTTGCCAAAGAGATCTTCAAAAAGCCTTAGATTGTTACCGAATGGCTTTAGATAGCTACTTTATGACTACGTCTTTAAAACAAGAATGTGAATCATTAATTAATGATATCTATCAAAGCTGTGATCCTTCGTTATCGACAGCCATTAAAAATGAACTATTTATTTTCGACCATTCAAATGGAGGGTTCTAAAGTAATGGGCATTTATTCTCGACTATCCATCCCTTTTTCTTTTTAAATTATGTTTCTCGTTTTACCTTCGCTTTAATAATATTTGATTCAGGTAAGTAGTAGCAATTAAGAAAAGCTTAATCATTATTTCTAAGCATACTTTTTATGTTTCTAAGCTATAAAAAAAAAAAAATGGCGGAAATCTATTACTTATTTTTCGCCAATATAAGAAAAAGATAGTTAAGGTTCGTGAGTAATTACGATACTAAATAAAAAAAAAAAAAACGATCGTGTGGTAAAAATATATTTCGATTGTATAATTTTTAAAATTGTTAGTGTTATTAAGGTTATTACTTGATCAACCAAATTTATTGCTATATATATTGATATTTCTAAATATATAACAATTTATAAATATTTTTAACATGTAAGATATATTATTGTTATTGTATATTAAATAGTGTATTATATAATTATTTGTATTTTATTTTAATAAAATTACTTTTATCAGGGTTAACTAAAATTGGTAAACCTAAAATTTGAAAATTTGAATAAATAAATTGATTCTCATATCCGGGTTCTCGGCATGAGGGTCCTTGGCATGCCACCAATTATAATAATATATACTATATATATATAGATATATAAAGATATATACAATTTATATTTTTTTGAGCTTCAAAAAAAAAATTTTTTAACCAATTAAATTAAACAAATAAATCATGTGATTATGGGATGTCGTGGCTAGATTCTTTATACCGTATTATACAATTGGTATAATATACACAAAGGGTATAAGTATAATACCATAATTAAGATCAACTTAGCCAATTAAATCGCTTTATTTGAGGACACAAAGATTTCCGATTTAAAGAAATTTCCGAAAGATTCCGAACCATATTAAACTATATACGTAGAAGCAAAATATTGGTTATACCGTATTATACAATATTATACGGTATTATACCTGGTATTATACTGCCATTTCTATTATACCGGTATAATAAAAACCCTAGTCGTGGCATGAAATTTAGAATTTGGCATGTCAAATTTTTTTATTATGCCAAAAGAACCCTACCGGCCAGGTTAAAAAACAAGATTTTTATGCCGCAGTAATGAATAGCCAATCAAAATTGCACGAATACCAGGATGTGAATGTATATACGATTTTTAAGATTCGATCCACACATAGAGTTCCGGTCCGTCATATATAAAGGAATTAGATCTGAGCTGGATCCGAGGATCCGTCTATTTAGTCATGGCCATACTTACGAGTTTCTTACCATCAGATAAATAGATCTTCTGTTTAAAAATTCGAGTTTATCACGTCAAAATTCTCATAATTGATGAGATAAACTCGAATTTGACGTGATAAACTCGAATTTTAATTGGCCAATTGAATTTCAGGATCAGGTGTAACGTAAAAATCGAACTAGCGAGTTTATCACATAATTATTATTAACAGTTATAATATATTATTGATCTGATAAACTCGAATTTTGACGTGATAAACTCGACTTCTAAGCGAAACCACTTTTTTTACTCTAACTCCACACTGTTCTCACTAGGGTTGGAGGCATGCCCTATCATATGAATGCTATCAATAGAAAACCTGTCATCGGACATTCAATTATATTTTGTGTTCAGTTAGCCATCTACGGAAAATCTATCGTCATGATATATTTTTCATAGATGGCTAACTGTACACAAAATATAATTGAAAGCCCGATGACAGGTTTTCTATTGACAGCACTCATATGTGATCTATAGCTAACGTATGATTGGCTAATTTATGTTGATTCTAGCGATTGACTAATCAGAACACAAATATCTTCTCATGGTATATACTTTATATTTAGAGCAGGAACACGAAAAAATTTGGATCCAAATTTGCCCAAGTAAATCCAAATACCTAGGCATTTTTCAAATATATCCAAATATTTTGAGAATTTTCCATGTAAATCCAAATTTCCGGTTATTTTTACAACGTTCTTGATTTTTATTGGTTAGCATTGAATCTGATTGGCTAATTTACGAGATGAACCGTGATCATTGGCCAATCAAATCCGTCAAAAAATTTACCGTAACACAAACCAAAAAGGAAATTAAATTTTGTAAATAAACTAAGTGCGTAAAAATAGAAGTTTAGATTAGGACGTTAGGACGTTAGAGTTGTGAGCTTTAGCGATAAGTTGGGGTTTCTTATATGTAAAATTTCATCACCATTATTTTTTATTAATTTAAATGCTAGTTTGAGTATTTTTGCTTTCTTCCTTTTTCACATGTGTTCGGATTCTACGTTGAGCTGATCTGGAATACCTGAAATTTGTGTTCTCTGATTGGCCTTTTTCTTTTTAGAGGTTTGCATCACTCGCACAAATAAGTGAATGCCTATATCTGAGAGATATATCATTATTCTATTTCAAATTCATTATAACCCACATAATTAACAAAATAATACTATTATACATATTATCGACCCACTACTTAACCAAAGCAAAGTTACACCTACTATTTTAATCACAGATATAAATAAGCCTAGTATATTTAAATATTTGCAATTTTCAAAATAAATTTTTGCAAAAATTTTTTCATGTCTCTGATCCAGAGAGCATACCCAAAAATTTGTTGTGTCTCCAACTTTAGTTTTCACCCTAACCCTAACTATAACATGGTTTTCTTTTTATACCAACTTTTTACTTAAAAAACAAAACATGTTTGTTTTGACTATTACATTACACCTGATCTTTAATTTTTTGTAGGAATGCTACAAAAATGTTTAACATTTCATATAATGATGTCACGCAGCTATCTAGTTATGTAAAATTATGTAATTTAGTGCAAAGGTTACTTTTAATGTTGTGTAACTTCAAAGTGCTATAAAAAAGTGATATCTAAAGCAGAGTAGATTCTTATAATATATATTTTATTAAATTAACTTTAGAGTTAGGGTTATCTTAGATTTGGTTAGGGCAGGTTTTAGATAGTTTTACTTAATCTACTCAAGATAGGTTTAGACTGTTGTATTTTATATTTTTTACTTTTCTTTTTTTGTTTCAGTTACTCATTACATGATTCTGCTCCACTTTAGATAATTCCTATAAAAATTAAAAATTTCTGATCTCCTGTTTATGCATAATAATAAATAACAAAAAATATTCTAATAAGGTAGTATAGTATATTAAAACCTTCTAAAGTTGTTTTTTGTAAGGTTGTCTTTACAGAAAAATACACATTAGATCTGCTATTAAGATAGCTACAAATTTTTTGTAAAGATGTGCATAAGTACACATCAGACCTAATCTTAGGCAACAAAAATTGATTTCAATATTTTTCTTGATAATAAGGCCTATTAATATTCTAAAGGAGAGATTAGTTATGGACCTTTCTTATCATCAAAAAAGATAAAATTTACTACTAAATATATAGTTTCAAGTAAAAAGTATAGTACAGCAAAAAAATTTTGCATGCCTTTTAGTAAATTTTATGCCAGGATGCCATCTTGGCATGCCATTATATCAACTCACCTAAAACCCTTAGACAATTCACAAATTCTGAAATTTTCAGCAACCTTGTCTGTATTTTATATTCAAAACTATCCATTATTTCGAATTTTTCAAAAATAAACATACATATATATTGATTATATATCTCTTAATTGGTAGAGATTTGCAGGCAAATTTGCCTGCATAATTACTATAAATATGTCTCTGATTTACTTTTTTAATTA